ACAGTGACGCCCAGTCTTCAGAGTGGATTACTTTTGGCAAAGTCGCCTTGAAAGTCGTGATCGCCCACGCGGAGAGAGATGTTCAGTATTTCTTTGCCTGCGGCAAGTCCCGCCCCCGCACCAACTTTGCACTTTGGTGGCGATGGTCGGAGGGGCGCACAGGACGCCGTAACGTAGGACACCTCGTGTCCTCGTGGCTTGATTCTGAGAGCCGTAGCATGTGGCGCACTCGTCCGCGTCGTTTCGGTGCAGGTGCTGACAGCGATGATGATGATGATGCTGGTCACGGCGATGACGAGAATGAGGCTGGTAATGCTGATGATGCTGACGGTGATGATGATGGTGATGCTGGTGGTGCTGCTGCTGATGATGATGTTGATGGTTGTGATGATGATGATGACGATGATGATGATGTTGATGACGAGGACGCTGATGATGAAGATTATGATGATGATGCTGATGAAGGAGATGCTGATGCTGTCGCTGATGATGATGACGATGATGCTGATGATTATGCCGATGATGATTAGTATGATGATGATGATGATGATGATGATGATGATGATGATGATGATGATGATGATGATGATGATGCTGATGATGATGATGATGATGATGATGATGTTGGTGATGATGATGCTGCTGACGACGACGATTATGATGATTATGGTGACGCTGATGATGATGCTGATGCTGATGACGATGATGCTGCTGCTGATGATGCTGCTGATGATGCTGATGGTGATGCTGATGCTGCTGCTGCTGCTGATGATGCTGATTCTGGTGGTGGTGATGCTGATGCTGATGATGATGAAGAAGCAGATGCTGCTTTTGATGATGATGCTGATGATGATGACGATGATGATGATGATGATGATGATGATGATGATGCTGATGATGATGATGATGCTCGCGCTGATGATGCTGCTGCTGATGGTTATGACGATGCTGATACTGATGATCATGATGCTGATAATGATGCTGATGCTGACGATGATGATGAGTAGGCTGATGATGCTGATGATTTTGATGATTGTGATGATAATGATGAGGAGGATGCTGATGATGATGATGGTGATGATGATGAGGATGCTGATGATGCTGCTGTTGATGATGATGAAGATGAAGATGAAGATGAATATGACGATGACGATGAAGATGATGATGATGATGATGATGCTGATGATGATGATGATGATGATGATGATGATGCTGATGGAGATGATGCTGATGGTGATGACGATGATGATGATGAAGCTGAAAGTGATGATGATGATGATGATGATGATGATGATGATGATGATGATGATGTTGATGATGTTGATGATGACGATGACGATTATGATGATGCTGACACTGATGACGATGCTGAGGATGAGGATGCGGATGCGGATGCTGATGATGCTGATGATGATGCTGCTGATGATGATGATGATGAAGATGCTGATGCGGCTGCGGCTGCTGATGATGATGATGATGCTGATGGTAATGATGATGATGATGATGATGATGATGATGATGATGATGATGATGATGATGATGATGATGATGATGATGATGATGATGATGTTGATGTTGATGTTGTTGATGATGATGATGATGATGATGATGATGATGATGATGATGATGATGATGATGATGATGATGATGATGATGATGATGATGATGATGATGATGATGATGCTGATGCACATAACGGTAGCGACGACGAGCACGACGAGGTTGCTGTTGATGCGGGTGTTGTTGATCAGGACCATGGTGATGATGAGGAGGAGGCGGAGGACGAGGAAGGCTGACACATGTGACGCCTTTTCGTCTCCACTTTTTGAGGAGCTCTCCTGCAGCACATTTGGGCCGTGTTGGGTCCATCTTGGCCTCTGGGTGGGGCAGTCTTAGGGGTTCCTTGGGGCCCTGTTGGGCTGTTTTGGGGGCCCTCTTGGGCTGTCTTGGGGTTGTCTTGGACCGTCTTGGGGCTGTTCTGGACGTCTAGAGGGTCTCTTGGGGCCGTCTCGAGGCCGTCTTGGGCCGTCGGGGCGCTCTCCTTAAGGCCGCCTTGGACCCCCCCGACGGCTCTCTTGGGCGAGCTTGGGGCGCTCTTGGGGCCCTCCTGGGCCGCCTGCGGGAATTCTTGGGCCGTCTTGAGGCCGTCACGGAGGCTTCTGGATTCATCTTGTGGCCTTCTTGGGCTGTCTTGGGGTCATCTTGGAGGCTCCTTGGGCCGTCTTGAGCTCGCGGACGTCCTGAGAAAAGGCAAGGACGCGAGCAAAAACACTACACGCCCTCTTGGGTTTGCGTCGGCTTGGAGACATCTTAGGCCATCCTGGCGGCCTCGGTGGCTTGCCTCCGTCGCCTTGGAAGCCCAGGAGCGCGGGCCCATGGCTTTCGCCACGTATCGTTGTCTTGGGCAGCGCGGGTGCACAGCTTGCTGCGAGGGTTCGTTTGCTCATTTCTACGTGGGTTCATGACCCCGTGAGCGCGGAGCCGACGTGTTTTTGAGGGACAGGGGGGGAGGGGGGCGGCGCACGCAGGTGGGCACAACCAGATGCGATGAGGGGAGTGGTGTCTTTTAGAAGACTCACAGGACCCTGCCAGACAGCCCCTGCATTCCAGCACTCCCACATCGCGCAAGAGCGGCGGCGGGTCTGAATGTCTATGTGAAGCACTTAGGGCAATTGGGATCTGTTGTTGGAGGTCTGCTGGGTGAGAACGACCACGAGGATGCAAGCACTCCTTCCGAGGCGTGCGTCCAGCGCATGTTTCTGAAGAGTGACGCGCAGAGCATCTTACCACGTCTCCCAGCAGCCTCAATTGCAGTGGCAAGCCTGTCGTGGCCATGCGCGCTTTTCTCGTCAGCCAGAGACAACGGTGCCGATCAATCGGCCTTTGCTTTTCTTCAGCACGTGTGTGCCTGCCCGTTCTGGCCACCGTGCGCATTTCTCTTCTGTGTAAACAGATATTGCCCGCAGGCCTGCGCTGCGGGCAATCGTCTCGCCATCAGCCACCTTCAGGCAGGTCCAGCTTGTTCTCTGCATCCTCCCTACCTCTGCCCGCCTCCGCCCATGCTGACACATGCCCTCCTCCTGCCCAAAAGGAGCCGAGAGGTGCGAGAGGTGTCTTCTTGAGGGCCCTCAGGCCTAACGTGCGAAATCTCTTCCCGAGGTCCCAGGGGCTGTAATCGGCGGCGAGCGAAGGGGGGGAAGTGAGAAGGAGAAGGCATTCTCAGAAGGCGGCGGGACTTCTCAGAAGCCCTCGCGCCTTCCGAACAGTTTTCTGTGTCTTCGGGGAAGGCTTAGAAAACTTCTCAGAGGGCCGGAGGACTTCCGAGCCTTCTCGGAAGGCCTCCTCCTTCACACTCCCCCCTTACTCGCCGCCGGCGTAAGTTGCATCCCAGAATGCTCCATTTGTCAGCTGGGGAGGTCCAGGAGGGGGAGTGCGCGCCGCGCACCCGTGGTCGGGGACCTGGCGGACGACGGGAAGCGCGCTTGGGCTCGAAGATTCGCGCGATGGACGTTTTCGGTAGCAGATCGTGGGAGCCAGGTATACCCTCTTCATTCCGTCTTTAGCGTCGATTAGCGTTTGGGAGTCAATGAGGGAAAGCCGATTCAGCGTCAGTTAGCGTCGCTTAGCGTCCACTAGTGTCGATTTAGCGTCGACTAGCGTCGATTAGCGTCGATTCTCAAGAGCCGACAGGATGGTATGGGAGGCTCCCATGAGTTGCCACCGAAGACGTTGCATCCAGGCCTGGATGGACAATTTTTTCGAGTGGGGGGGTCCACGGGGAGAGTGGCGGCGGGGTTCCTCCTTCGCCGCGACCTGGCGGATCTAGAAAACGAGCGTTTCGCTTGAGACATCCTCTCCGCAGCGTGATCTTGAGGTCGTGTCTTAAGACGCCTTATGCAAACAAATAACGTTTCGCCCGAGACATTCTCAGAACACGGGGATGTTGAACTCACTGGCTTGATCTTCGCAGCTTAAAATATCCGGTTCGCCTCAGATATCCTCGAAAACATGCTCCAAGAGCTGTTTTGATACATCTTTTCGAAGCGCTCTTGGATGACCTCCAAGATGGCCCAAGAAGCGAAAATGGTTCAAACGTATGCGTTTCGCTCGAGACCTCCTAAAAATGCCTTCGAAGGGGTCCTCCAAATCGTCAGAGCATGATGGACATGCCGATGTAGTTTGGGGTCTGCAGGGGAAGGGTCCGTAGGGTTAGGGTCTGTACGGTTAGTGAGGCTCTGGGGTTAGGGTCTGTAGGGTGAGGGTCTGTAGGGTTAGTAGGGTCTATAGGGTTCGGGTCTGCAGGTTCAGTAGGGTCTGTAGAGTTAGAGTCTGCAGGGTTCGAGTTTTTATGGTCAGTGTCTGTAGGGTTAGAGTCTGCAGGGTTAGGGTCTGTAGGGTTAGACAAGTCTGCAGGGTTAGGGCCTGTAGGGCCAGGGTCTGCAGGGTTAGGGTCTGCAGGGATAGAGTCTCCACGGTTAGGTCCCGTATGGCTGGCAAGGTCTGCAGGTTTACACGCCGGTCGTTGAGAGTAGGTGTTTTTGGTTTCCCAGATCCCAGTCTACTTCAAGCGCCTTCCTGCTTCAAGAGTCGACACGCTGTTGCTGTGTTTTGTTGTTCTCTGTGGGGGCCTGGACCCACGCCACTCTATCCGCCTTCCCACTTCATGCTTCTGCCTACTTCTTCCGACCGACGTGTACAGTCGGGTTCCATTAGTAGGTCGGCCCTGCGAAATCAAGGGTGCTCTTGTGTCCTGTGCATCGCGCGTCGTGTCCTCTGCGGCCTCGGCAGGGTACCCTTGTGTCCTGTGGTTTTGGAGGCCATGTTGCCGTCGGAAGAGTCTTGGGTCCTGTCGCGCGTCCTGTGCGCAATAACCCGCCTGTAAGGCCTGCAGGGTCCGTGGGGCCTGCAGCGTTGGGGCCCCGTGGGCTTGGCGGGGTCCGCCCTCGCCGGCCCGGCGTCCTCGGCGCCCCGCCTTGCGCGCCGCCGCCGCGCGGTGCCCGAGGCTCAGGACACCTGGCGTCAACGAAGCCCCGCGAAGCTGCCGCGACTGGCCGAACCGGGGGGGCGGGGACGTGGGGCGACGAGCTCTACTAGAGGAAAAAGACATGCACGTACAGTAGGGGTCTTGAAGAAGGAACCCTTCTCGTTGGGGAGGGGCTCGGTGTTCCTTGATTTATTCAAAGTTTGCCTCGGGTTTTCCTCAGGTTTTCCATAGGAAATCGAGGTTGAACTTATGGGAAAAAGGGGCCTCGTTCCGATTTTTGCCAGGTCCATCCTGAGCCCAGGATCGGTGCATACGCCCGCCCTCCTGCCTTGGCCAGGAAGGCACATGCACCCATCCTGGGCCAAGGATGGGCCTGGCCGGTATCGGTGCATGTGCATAGTTCTCTTCGCCCGATCTACGCACATCTCAGCGGCGAGCGATTGGGGGGAAGTGAGAGGGATAAGGCCTTCTCAGAGGGTGCGGACATCCCCTGGCCTTCTGAGGAGGTTTTGGAGCCATCCCCGAAGAGAGGCAAAAACTTCTCAGAAGGCGCGAGGACTTCTGAGCAGGCCCGCCGCCTTCTGCGAAGGCCTTCTCCTTCTCTCACTTCCCCTCCTGCGCTCGCCGCCGAAATCTTTGGATGCAACTTCTGAGAGGTCTAATTCTGACTTTGTCCTGGCCCAAAGCCCCGCTTAATCCGGCTCAGTTCCGCGTGATCTGGCCTAATCCCGCTTAGTCCGGCTGAATCCTGCTTAATCCGCGACCCCATCCGGCGTAACAGCCCCCCCCCTTTGGGGCTTAATACTCCTTATTTCGGACTGGGCTAGGACGATGACAAGTCTGTTCCAGAGCATTCTGGAGCGCTCTCAGAGCGTTCCAGAACGCTCTGACAAGGCCGCGGCGCCCGAGACATCCTCCAGAGCCGCGGCATCTCAGAGATTCCCGATTTGTCCTCACCCAAATTTACCCTCGTCCTGGCTTCGTCTTGCCCACTAGGGTCTAGTCGTGATTTTTGGCGATGTTGCATTTCTTTTGCAACGTCGGACCTCAGGGAAGATCGAGGTCGGCTCGGGAAGGATTCCCTAGTGTTCTTCGTGCATGTTGGATGTTCTTGTGCATCCTGGGGAGATGCCCTTGGATGTGTGTTTTGGCCAGCGGAGGGTCTCATGTGCTTATGTTCTTCTAGCTTAGGTCTGACTCTGTGGAAGGACCGACCACAAAGCTGTGTAGCTTCGTTTGGGCCTTCGTTTTGTTTTTCGCTTCGCTTTTCGGTGTTGGTTCGTTTCGTTCTTCGTTGTCGTTTAAGCGCCCCGTGCCATCGTTTGTTTTCGTTTGGGACCGGCTCCGTTTGGAACGTTTTGAGCGTTGGGTCGCGTTTCGATGTTCGTTGTAAGCGCCACTTCGGTTCAAAAACATCGCTGTGGTCGGCCCCTGTGGATATGTGTAGAATTCGTCGTCCTGGGGGAGGGCGCACCCTGCGTGCACGTGCGCCGCGCGGGGCCCCGAAGTTCGGTGGGGCTCCTGCCGCGCGCCTGCTCTTCGTGTCGCGCCTCGCTGGCGCCACGCCCGCCTCCGCAGACATGCGACGCCTCCTGACCTCTTGCGGTGCTCAACGCGGAGGGCTCGGGCACCCACACCGCTGCCCGTCTTTTGTCTTCCCCCCCTTGGGCCTCATGGGAGGCCCTCGTCGTCACTGCGGGATGCGCCCCAGAATCCTGGTCAGAACGCGCCCTGGGAGAGGTCCTGCGGGGAGTGGCGGTATCGGTACCTGTTGGTTTCCCCAGGTACGGGGTCCCCAGAAGTCCCGTCCCTGGCGGCCGCGGAGCCCGAACGCGGCCACCGGAGGCCGAAACGGGGGAAAACCGTAGGCTTGATTTTCAAGACGCTGGATGTCTGGGTCTCCCCGACGTCGTCGTCGTCGTCGTCGCCGTCGTCGTCGTCGTCGTCGTCGTCGTCGTCGTCGCCGTCGTCGTGATCGTGGTCGTGAACGTCGTCGTCGTCGTCGTCGTCGTCGTCGTCGTCGTCGGCACTGTTGTCGTGGTGCGGCCGCGTGCCGACGTCTTCCTCTCCCTCTTCCTCCTCCTCCTCCTCCTCCTACTCCCCCTCCCCCTCTCTCTCCTCGTCCTCCTCCACCTCCTCCTCCTCCTCCTCCTCTCCTCCTCCTCCTCCTCCTCCCCTCCTCCTCCCTCCTCCCCCCCCCCTCCCCCTCCTCCCTCCTCCTCTCCTCCTCCTCCTCCTCCTGTCGCCCCCGGTGTGGTCGCAGGCTCGGGCGATGGCGCCACGACTCCTCGCGCTGCTGGCCTCGGCCTCCCTCGCCGCGGGGGTGCCGGGTGCCAGGGGCAGGTAATTACAGTCAGGGGCCACGTTGGGGGGGAGGATGAGGAGGATCGAGGAGGAGGAGGAGGAGGAGGAGGAGGATCGAGGAGGAGGAGGAGGATCGAGGAGGAGGAGGAGGAGCAGGAGGAGAAGGAAGAGGATCGAGGAGGATAAGGATGAGGATGAGGATGAGGACTTGGATGAGGATGAGGAGGAGGAGGAAGAGGAGGAGGAGAGGAGGAGGGAGGAGGAGGAGGAGGAGGAGGAGGAGGAGGAGGAGGAGGAGGAGGAGGAGGAGGAGGAGGAGGAGGAAGGAGGAGGAGGTGGAGGAGGAGGAGGGGAGGAGGAGGAGGAGGAGGAGGAGGAGGATCGCCGACGATCGAGAAGGAACTGAATTAAGGAAGGGAAGGAGGAGGATGGATGGAATACAGAGGAGAATCGAGGAGGAATCGATCAGGGGCAACGAAAGGGGGGGATGGGCTCAAAGGGGATGCATGGACCCCCAATCGCCCATTGATTGCCCACATGTCGAAGACGAAAAAACGCCATAAACATACACTTTTGGCGCTCCGCGCGGATTTCTTGGGTCCTCGCGGGGGGGCCCCCGCGGCGCCTCCAGCGCCGCCTCTGACGCGCTCCGCGCGCCTGGGAGGGGGGTGCAGCGCAGATGCAACACATCCGCACGGAGCGCCAAAAGTTTATGCAACTGCAGTTTGTTGTTTGTTTCCATCAGGGGGGGATGCATGGACCCCCGGTCGCCCATGGATCGCCCATGTGGGACCCGATAGCACGTCTAGCACAGGAAGGTGCGGCTTCGTTATCAGGTACTTGTTCGCTGATCATCAGGAGAGGAAAAAAACACACAGACACAATTAATCCTCGATTTCTCAGAAAGTATGGGAACATATGGGAAGAGGGGGAAGACAGAAACCCAGAAAATATGGGAGAATATGGGGAACATTTTTATTTGTGTGTATTTATTTGTGTGTCCTGGGGCCCCTTCAGATCAGTCGGCGAGGTATCGCCGATTCCAGGTCGATGTTTCCCCCCTTTGGCTGCCCTTCCCTTGGCGCGGCCCCTCACGGGAGCGCCCGAAGTCGGACGGGGGAGGAGAGCTTCCCCCCAAAAGAAACTTCCTGGAGGGTGGAGACACTCAGGAGGCGAAAAAAAAACACAGACACAATGAATCGTCCACTCCCAGGAAAATGTGGGAAAACATGGGAAGCGGGGGGAAGACACAAACTCAGAACATATAGGAACATGTGGGGAATCCTTTCATTTGTGTGTATTATTTGTGTGTCCCGGGGCTCCTTCAGACATAGGACCGTGCAGCTTGAGTCTGGAGTCAATCCGAGGGTCTACGCCGTCCCGGCAGATCTGCGGTCCGGACGACTGCTGCTTAGCTTTCGGGAAGGTCAGGGTCCTCCTCCCCCTGCTTCACCACCCACCAAACCACCCCAACCCAACCCGAAGGCTCAGATTAACCTTCGATTTACCCATCGAAAAGCACATGTGGAACCCTTACCCCCCCCAACCCGAAATTCGGGTCTTCGGGTGGGGTTGGGGTGGTCTGGTAGGTAGTCACTGCTCCATCCCTCGTCCATGTCAGCCAGCGTGGGCCCCAAACGGTGATTTCCAACAATCCTTGCGGCAATCCCCACGTGGTGCAATCTAGACGGGGCAAAGCAACGTGAAGCAGCGCAAAGCGACGCAAAGCGATGCACAGCAATGCAGCGCATTGTAATGCAGTGCAATGCGCTTGCAAGGCAATGCAAAGCACTGCAGAGCAATCCAGATCAGTTCAAAGCAATGCAGAGCAATGCAGAGCAATGCAACGCAATACAGAGCGATGCAGCGCAATGCAAAACACTGCAAAGCAATGCGTAGCAATACAACGCGATGCAAAAAGCAATGCAAAGCAATGCAAAACTATGCAAAGCAATGCAAAGCAATGCAAATCAACGTAACGCAATGCAAGGTATTACAAACCAATGCCAATCAATGCAAAGCAACGAAAGGCAATGCAACACAATGCAAAGCAAAACACTGCACAGCAATGCATAAGTATGCGAACCAATGGAAGTACATGTAATGCAGCCGAAGCAACGCAACGCAAAACAGTGCACAGCAATGCAACGCACTGCGGCGCCATGCAGAACAGTGCAGTGCGATTCAATCTCATGTACATTCATCAAAGCAATGCGAAGACATGCAAAGTGCGAACCTCGCACACTCGGACTCGTGACCAGGGGTCGCGGCGACGGGCGGTGACGGGCGGCCACGAGCCGGCTGGACCGACAACCGGGCCGAGCGTTTTTAGAAGGGGAGTACAGTCGGGGCGCAGAAGAAGGAACCCTCTTCGTTTGGGAGGGGCTCCGTGTTCCTTAGTTGTTCCACAGCGCTCCTTGGGTTTTCCTTTGGTTTTCGATGGGCAATCGAAGCTCAACTTGTGGAGAGAAAGGGGCCTCGTTCCTTACTTAGGGTTCCTTAGGTCAACGCCCCGAGTGTATATGAGCATCCCTAAGTTTCCCCCCGTGGCACCGCCGGGCGTGTCGCAGGGGCGGCCTGGGCGTTTCGCCCGGGGCAGCTTCACCGTGCACAGCCTTGCACTTGAACGTTGAAGTTTGAACACTCGGAGTTCGCAACCTCGACGGTTGAAGTTTGAACACTTGAACACTTGAACGTTGAAGTTTGAACTTGAACTTCACCGTTCACCGTTCGCAACCTTCGAAGCTTGACAGCTGTCTAGCACTTGCACGGGTGGAGTGCGCGCCGTCTTCGAGACGGGGCTCTCGCCATGGCCTCGCGCACGCTCGTCGTACGCATTTCTCGCGCATCTCTCACGAGTGCACGGGTGGAGAGCAGATTCTTCTTTTTGAATGTGGGTGCTCTCACTTTGTCGCTGCGCACATCCGTCTGAGACATGTCGAACTGTTGCACGCATGCATGGCGGGGCGGACTTCCTCACCATTCGCAAGTATCAAGCTGAGCAGCAGTCACGGATGGAGGGCGGCTCTTTTCGAAAACAGAGCTGGGCATTTCTTTGATTTGTATGACTTTATTTTGTTGGCATTCTTTTTAGCTCGAAGTTTGGAGGGCAGTTAGTTCTAAAAAGGAGTTCATGCTTGAATTGAGGGTCAAGGGGGCTCTCGTCTTTCAAAGGGGGTGCTCCGCGCAGTGAAAGAGAATGCTTGTAGGGACTTATGAGAAGGAGACTTGGGATGGGAGGGTGTACTGCAGCATTGTTTGCACAGCTTGGGTATGCTGTGGTCCTCCTGCTGCTGCTTCTGCTCCTCCTTCTCCTCCTTTTCCTCCTTCTCCTACTCCTGGATCCTTTAGGTTCGAGGATCAAGTTTTTCTCTAAACAACTCGCTGAACGGGGTGCTGTTGCGGTAGAAGCTAATTCTGGCCGAGGAAAAGGGGAACACAGACGTCCTCAAACAAATCAGGTGGTCCGGGCCGTTTCGCCTGAGACATCCTCACAACCCTCGTTTCTGAGTTGTTTGGGGTTGACCGTTTCGCATCCTATACAATCTGGGCCCCGGGACGCCGCGCGCGAGGTGGTCCGGCGCGTTTCGCCTTCGACATTCTCGAAACTCTAAGCTCCGAGACGCCGTGCGACAGGTGGTCCGGCGCGTTTCGCCTTAGACATCCTCACAACTCGGCGCTCCGAGCTGCCGCGCGCGAGGTGGTCCGGCGTGTTTCGCCCGAGAAATCCTTCCAATTCTAAGCTCCGAGATGCCGCGCGAGAGGTTGTCCTTACAATTCTGAGCTATGAGAAGATGTGCGCAAGGGTGTGTGGCCCGTTTCGCTTGAGACATCCTCGCCATTCGGGGCTCCGAGATGCTGCGGGCGAGGTAGTCTGGCTCGTTTCGCCTGAGGCATCCTCGAAACTCGGCTCCTAGAGGGAGGAGAAAGGAGGGAGGGGGAGTCAGACCCAACCGAATCATGGTATTACACATCTGTTGCCGAAGTGTACTCTGGGAGGGGTCTGGGCGCCGCCTGAGACATCCTCGCAACTCTGAGCTCCAAGATGTCGCACGCGAGGTGGTCCAGTCCGTTTTTCCTGAGACATCCTTGCAAATCGGGGCTCCGGGACACTGCGCGCGAGGTGGTCTGTTGCGTCTCGCCTGAGACATCCTCGCAACTCCGCTCTCCTTGAAGATTTGCGCGAAGTGGTCCAGCTGGTTTCGCCTGAAACATCCTCGCACCTCTGGGCTCTCAGAACATGTGCGCGAGGAGGTCTGGCGAGTCTCGCTTGAGACATCCTCGCGAGTGGGCTCCGAGATGCCGCGCCATAGGTGGTCTGGCCCGTTTCGCGTGAGCCATCCTCGCAGTTCTGGGCTCCGAGAGGGAGGAGAGAGGCGCGAGAAGGGGTCAGTCAGATGCAAGCGAACCGTTCGATTCCACTTCGGTGGTCAAACTGTGCTGTGAGAGATGTCTGGGCGCCCCCTGGCCCGACGGAGAAGGTAGCGGCTCCGAGGCGCGAGCACGATTCCTTGGTAAATTGCAAGTGCTGATCAGGGGGGAGCCGTGCTGGATCAAGTCGTGGAGGTGCCTCGAGCGGGAGCGCGGCGAACAGGGAGGAGGCAGGAGCGGGGGGGAGAAATCGGGGAGGGAAGAGTTCCGAGATGCTGCGCGAGAGGTGTTCCAGCTCGTTTCGCCTGAGACATCCTTCCAGTTCTGAGCTCTGAACGTCTGGCCCGTTTCGCTTGAGATTTCTTCGCAATTCGGGGCTCCGAGATGTTGTGAACGATGATGTCTGGCCTGTTTCGCTTGAGACATCCTTGAACCTCTGGGCTCCGAGAGGATGAGAAACGAGGGAGGAGGAGTCAGACCCAACCGAATCATGTGATTACAAACCTGTTGCCGAATTGTGCTCTGGGAGGGGTCTGGGCGCCGCCTGAGACATCCTCGCAACTCTGAGCTCCCAGATGTCGCACTCGAGGTGTTCCAGTCCGTTTCGCTTGAGATCCTCGCGATTCGGGGATCTGAGATGCTGCGCGC